GGGGCCTCCCGACGCGCACGCGCATTGAGCTGTGACACGGGTGGGCGTGGTCGCTCTTCCAGCCAAAAACGATTTCTTTGACAGACACAGAGACATACCCGGCGTTTGAGTCGCGCGGATGGTGACCGGTCTGGGAGTGACAGTGTGTGGTTCTCCGAGGTTGGTACCCGGCGGGCGGACGCGGGCCGGCTTGTTGTGCGAGTATATGGGCCAAAAGCGTCGAAAATGTCCCAAAAAGCGTGTCTCGAGTTTGTTGCAGCTCCGCAGCCTGCGCGCGCTGCCGGGACGCACCGCTTGCTGGATCTGTGCACTCCCTGGGTCCCAGGGAGTGCACAGATCCAACAGGAGTGAGTAGGCTCGACGCCGTACTCGAGATGGAGCTGCAGAAAGTACGCCGCCGAACGTGCCACCGACGGCGTCCTGGCGGAGGTGGTGGAGTTTGAGAACTGAGGCTGCGGAGGTGACGCCTGAGGTACCAGTCCGTGCACAGCGACTCAGCCGGCGACCGCCACGGGCTCAGACGAGACTTGTCGACGCGTTCCGGCTCAGCTTCACCGTGGTCATCGGGCGTCTGTCGACGTCAGGACCACCCATACAGCTCGCGGGTTTGAGGTCGCAAGAGCCAAGATGGTGGCGTTTGGACATCCCAACCATCACACAAGACAGCCTGTAGGTGGTGGCGGGACGGCGCAGTGTTTGTGGCACTCGGCAGTAGGCACCCGCGGCACGGCCCCGCTGTCGGCTCTCGCTGGCTGCGGAACCGGCCCCAGAGGGGGACGGTCCGGGCGAGTGTGGCAGCTCCTGCGCTAGTCTGGGCACCCTCTATCATAGCACTACTGATCCCGGTCATTAGAGCTGCCAGGGATAGCGTCAGGAGCCTATAGGAGTCAAAACCCCTCATATTTGAGACATCGTGGCCCATATACTCGCACAACGAGCCAGCCGCGGGGCGCGCGCGCGCGCGCGGTGCGCATTTTGTGAAAGTTCCCTACTTTTGTTTCTAGCTGATAGACACACACGGACGCGTTCAGCTCAGCTCCTCTCCACACAGACATTTGCACGCACAGAGCAGCACGCCTTCCCTACTAGTACTCCGCCTGCGGGCCGCACATCTCGGTGAGCCGCGAGAGAGTGCGCCGGAGCATGAAGGCCTCGTCCTTGGCCGTGAAGAAGGAGGCCAGCTCGCCGTCGACCGAGTAGCGGCCGCCGACGGGCGCCACGCTGAACGGGAGTGAGGCGGCGCCCGCGTCGTCGACGGCTACCTCTGCGCCGGCCATCATCGTGTCGGCGCCGCCTCCGTCGAGCAGCGGCGAGAGCAGCTCGGCTAGCGGCGCCTCGGCGGCGACATGCAGGGCGCAGCGCGCCTCGTACAGGGCGTCGACGAGATACAGCCGAGAGATGCGATCTTGCCGAGATACAGCCGAGGTCTCCGCGCGCCTCGTACAGGGCGTCGACGAGGAGGAAGAGGTGCAATCTCCCCATATCTCCCCATATCTCCCCATATCTCCCCACCTCGTACAGGGCGTCGACGAGGAGGACCAACCGGCGCGCCTCGTTTCGCTGCCGCACGTCGAGCCTCGGCACGCCGTTGAGGTACACCTACCCTCGGGCGATCTCGGGCGATCTCGGGCGATCTCGGGCGATCTCGGGCGATCTCGGGCGATCTCGGGCGATCTCGGGCGATCTCGGCACGCCGAGGCCCACCGTCCGCACTGCAGACGCGAGATATGGGGAGATACGCCGAGATTCGGGGAGATCGCACCGTCCGCACGGCAGACGCGAGGGCGAGGAAGTCGGGCGCGCCACGCGCCGGCTCGCCGGGCCTTGCCTCGCACAGCTCCGCGAACTCGAACCACGCAGCCTCTCCCGGCGCGGTCCTCGCCACCCGCAGCTGCCGCCCAAACCCGACCTCGAGCTGCAGCGGCGGCGGCGCGGCGCCCGACCCGAGCCTCTCGCCCCACGCGCGCCGCAGCGACACGCCCGCCGAAGCGCCGTGGTAGAACCCTCCGCGCGCGCGCGGCGCAAACACCCTCCCCTCTTCAGCAGCGCCGCAAGCCTCGGCAGAGAGTGGAGCCGGCGCGCCATTCGGCGGGCGCAAGGTGCGGTAGTCCGCGGCGGCGGCGAGGGCGAGGTTCGAGAAGCGGGTGTGGATGAGGGCGACAAAGGGCAGGAAGTACTTCCGGTTGAGTCCGCGCTCGTACAACGCCTAAGAATGAGCGAGTGACTAACTAGTGACTAACCAGCACTCCGAACCGGCTCACGCTCCATAGTGAATCCGTCCCCCGCGCTAGTGCAGCGCCTCCGCGGGGCGGTTCGACGTGAAGAGGACCGTCACGCCTCGCGGTAGTATGGAGTAAGAATGAGATAGCAGCAGCAGCAGCAGCAGCAGCAGCAGCAGCGGCAGCAGCAGCAGCAGCAGTGTGTAACTAAAGTCTTGTGTCTAACCTAGCCGTCACACCTCTCGCGAGGAGCAGGTCGAACAGCTGCCGCAGGATCATCGCGTCGGCCACGTCAGTCACCTGCATTCATCCGAGCAGATGCGATCTCCCCATATCTCCCCATATCACCCCGTATCTCCCCGTATCTCCCCATATCTCCCCAGCCACCTGCATCTCATCCAAGCACAGCAGCGAGTCCGCCTCCACCAGCTGCTGCGCCACAATCTCGAGCGGCTGCGGCTGCCGTGGTGGCGCCACAGCCTCGCCCGCCTCTCCGCCGCCCCCGCCGCCCCCGCCGCCGCCCTCGCCGCCGCCGCCGCCGCCGCCGCCCTCGCCGCCCTCGCCGCCGCCGCCATCCGCACTCGCATTCCCTGGTGTCGCCACCGCAGCCGCCGCCTGCAAAGCCTCCTCCGCCGCCACCCCTGCCTGCGCCTTCCGCGCCGCCGCCGCCGGCGGCTGGGCAACCCCTCTGCCCGCCTGCTGCTGCGCTTGCTGCTGCTGCGCCTGCATCTGCTGCTGCTGCTGCTGCTGCTGCTGCTGCTGCTGCTGCTGCTGCGCCACTCTCGCCGGCGCGGTCAACTCTGCTGGCAAGTCCCCGAAGCGGTAGATTGGTAGCCCGCTCTCTGTCAGCACGACTGTCTTCTCACGCGACTCGTGCACCTAGAAGGTTCCTAGAAGGTTCCTAGAAGGTTCCCGCTCCGTCAGCACGACTGTCTTCTCACGCGACTCGTGCACCTAGAAGGTTCCTAGAAGGTTCCTAGAAGGTTCCCGCTCCGTCAGCACGACTGTCTTCTCACGCGACTCGTGCACCTAGAAGGTTCCTAGAAGGTTCCTAGAAGGTTCCCGCTCCGTCAGCACGACTGTCTTCTCACGCGACTCGTGCACCCGATGCAGCCGCTTGTGCACGTCGATCATGAGCTCGTGGAAGTGGAGCCGGCGGCGCGGGCCGCGCAGGCTGCGAAGGGGTGGGGGTGGAGGGTGAGGCTTGCGGCGCGCGACGCCGAGGCTGCGACTTCAGAGGCGGCGGCAGGAAAGCGTTCGGAGTCTCCTGGGAAGGTCTAGAGCGTGTCTGGCCTGGTCTCGTAAAAGAGGTCCATCAGCATCGACTTGCCACCCCCGACCGGGCCGTGGATGTACGCACCCGCCGCCGCCTCGGAGCCACCGGAGTCGGCAAGGGTGCCGTCTTGCAGGCGCTGCAAGGCCTCTGCCGCCGCTCGCTGAGCCGGGTCCGGGCGGATGCGGCCGCGGGCGACGGCGGCGTCGTAGCTGGCGAGCAGCCCGCCCGGGCCGCTGCTCCGCCATCGGGAGAAGTTACGGAAACAACCGCGTAGCGGCCGCATCGGTGTGTGAGAGATCTTCAAGACGTCGCGGCGAACTCCGGTCGCTTCGGCAAGAATTGGAACTCGCACGCTGCTCGTTCTCAGGGCAAGAATGTCCATGCACATCGAGTCGCCGGGGGGGAGGGGGGGGCCTCCTCGGCCTCCTCGGCCTCCTCGGCCTCCTCGGCCTCCTCGGCAGCCTCGGCTGCTT